TCAACATCAGCGGCTGCCGCCTGAGCGCCGAGCGGCGGCGCTACGCCGAGGCCGGGGCCGTGCTCTTCCACCACCGCGACCTGGTGCGGCACGGGCGCGGGCAGCTGCCCCCCGGCGCCCCGCAGCGCCCCCCGGGGCAGCGCTGGGTCTGGATGAACTTCGAGTCGCCCTCGCACTCGCCCGGGCTGCGCGGCTGGGGCGGGCTCTTCAACTGGACCATGTCCTACCGCCTGGACTCCGACGTCTTCGTGCCCTACGGGGCGCTGCGGGCCGCGCGGGCGCCGGGGCGCCTGGTCCTGCCGCGCAAGACCAAGCTGGTGGCCTGGGTCATCAGCCACTGGAACGAGGAGCACGCGCGGGTGCGCTACTACCGCCAGCTGCAGAAGTACCTGCCCGTGGACGTGTACGGGGCGCAGGGCCTGGCGCTGAAGGAGGGCGGCGTGGTGCGGACGGTGTCGGAGTACAAGTTCTACCTGGCCTTCGAGAACTCGCAGCACACCGACTACATCACTGAGAAGCTGTGGAGAAATGCCTTCAAGGCCGGCGCCGTGCCCGTTGTGCTGGGCCCCCGGCGGGCCAACTACGAGCTCTTCGTCCCCCCCAACTCCTTCATCCACGTCGACGACTTCTCCAGCCCCCGGAAGCTGGCTGTCTACCTGAGGTTCCTCGACAGAAACCCGCGGAGCTACAGACGGTATTTTGCCTGGCGTGAGAAGTATGACGTGCACGTCGCATCGTTCTGGGACGAGCACTACTGCCGGGCTTGCGAGGCCCTCCAGGCGGCTGGCGATGACCAGGTCAAGTCTGTGCAAAACCTGGCTGGCTGGTTTGAAAGCTGATGGCTTTGGGTGGGGAAGCTCGCTTGGCCAGCTTCTCCCAAAGCCCGGCTTAAAGGGGGTGGCATCTCTCAGGCGTTAGAGACCCTGGCAAAAACTAGGGACCGTGGAAATTGCTGGGGAGGAGAGTAGGCCAGCAAGCTCTTGGAGCTCTAGGGTTGCCTTGTGAGTTGCCATTGCCGGGCTGTGACAGCCCCAGCACTTCCTCCAGTCCAGCGTTTGCCTGGACATGAACTCCCCTGGGTGTCCCAAGCTGAAACCATAATTGTTGCACAGATCAACACAAATAAACTGTGCCAATTCTATAGCCATACAGCTGTAACCAATTTTCTCCGTTACTGCCATTCCCAGGATGATGAAACTTCCTTATGCTTCAAGGAGATACAGGATCAGTGCTGGCACTTTGTATTTTTATTCCCTTTTGAGAACGTATTTGCCTGCTACACAGAGGCACATTTATTTAAAGGCAGTCATTGAGCATACAAAACACTTTCACAGACAAATCATGAGCCTCAAGCTTGGAATTGGCATGATCCACCAGTATGCTGTTGGCACTTCCCGGCAGTGTTTTAAATTGCAATAGCTAAAAATGCAGCGAGCGAATGCAAACATTTGACCATGTACCCTAAGAATTTCAGCAAGCCGAGGCACAAGCGCATGGAAAGGAACGGGTGCGAGTAGAATATCCACCTTTTACACAACGTTACTTGAAGCATTTCCTTCGTTGCTTGTTGAAATCAAGGGGATGAAGGTTAAGAAGAAGACATCTAGGAACAGGAAAAGAAGGAATGTAAAAACAATGTTGGAACACTTCTATTTTTGCTTTATTCAGAAATGTGTTTACAGGAGCCTGCATGGTTTTCCCTGGCAACCTACTGCCACATAGAGAACAGCAGGGGCAGGGTTAGAGCTCTACAGCTCCCTATGGAAGTTCTCAGACTACATCCAATGTATTTATGAAAAGATTAATTTATTTCTATATCATCATGAGAAATTTTTATCAGATAATAATCGTAGCTTGCAACATGCATTTTCATGGAGAATCATAGATTTTAAAACATTTTATGAGGTGATAGATAATGTGGTACGCTGCTTTGCAGGCTGTAAAAACAGTTACCTTTCCTGTTAGAATAACATAGCTTAGATGGTTTTCTGCAATTGTTTTAAAGTATTGGATGGTACCAGGAACAAATGCAAATAGGTGAGGACATCTTTCTAATATTTATTGAGTTTATTTGTTTTCTGATGCTTTTATTCTCCATTTTTGTTTTCTATGAGGTGGGTATGTATTTTTTTTGCCCAGGTAGAATGAAGTCCCTATAATCAGAAGTTTTTCAGTCCATGCCTGTAAGGGCATGTCTCCATGACACTTTGCAGTGCTGTGCGGAGGTAATTGAGCTAGCTTTGAACCATTTAGTCTATATACATAAAAAAGTGTGTTAGCATAGAACTTTTCCTGGCCTATTTGTCCTTCTGAGAAGTTGTTAGGCATACAAATGGTGGGTCCCAGCACTTCCAGGCAATTATTCCACTTTGCCTGACTGAGATCTTTGCTTTTAGTAGTCACTGGTTGCTACTTCCTAGTTCCTGCCACCTATGGTGTCTTCACAGCTTTACACTAACCCTAAGGAACTTCTGGGGACTTGAACCCCATTGCACCCTATTAGCACATACCAATGTCTAACTATGGGCCTCATCCTGTTCCTGTTATGTCCGTGACTTCAGTCCAGGGGAAAGCGTGGAGCTCCAAAGGAAAAGAGAGGGGAGCAAGACTCTCATTTGCAAATATTTGAGGTACCAGGACAGGTAAGTTTACCAGCATTGGGAACCAGTGTTGAGAAGGGTAAGCAGTAAACCATAGTCAAGTTGCTAGCCTTATGATTTATTTATTGTCAGTACATTATACCAAGTCTTAAATCAGAGCAGCGTCCCAGTGGCTAGAGTGATGGTGAATTCAAACTTCTGTACATTGTGGGGAAAAAAAACTTTTAATAATAAATGACAGTCCATGAGACATTTGCACAGAGCTGTCAGATCACATCATGCTAACAACTCATGTCTATTTCTAGCTGCTTAAGTGCAATAAAATACAGCTAAAAGTACTTGATGTCATTTTATGATATTACTGTTTAATGGTAGTAATTGCCACAAATGCCCTAGAATAGTATGTGATAGTGGCAGGGAAAATAATCGGCTGAATGTGGGATTGTCTTTTCATTAAAATGTCCACCTTGTAAAAGAAAGTTGAGGTCTCCTGCTTATGTGATATAATTTAAGGTTCTATCATATCTTTCACTGCATAAGCTCACCTCTTTATTTGCACAGAAAGCATTAGATCAGGCTGCTTTTTTAAGAATTACGTTTTTTTTACACTGTTCTAAAAATAAAGTTCAGGTAAGGTGTGTCAAGGAATTCATCTCTTGGTTATTTGGTTGTAGCTGTATTGGTCTAAGGACATAGGCAGGCAAGATTCTTTGAGTAGATGTGATATCTTTTATTAGACCAACTGAGCAGTTGGAAAAAAGTTCTTAGCAAGCTTTTGGATGCAGTCACCCTTCATCAGGCACGGGGAGTCTCTGCTGGTCTTGGGAGTCTCAGACCAATGGAGACTTCCTGTGTCCGAAGAAGGGTGACTGTGCCTGAAAGCTTGCTAAGAACTTTTTTCCAGCTACTCAGTTGGTCTAATAAAAGATATCACATCTACTCAAAGAACCTTGCCTCTCTTTTAGTTAATCTTCCTGTTTGCTTCCTACTGGTTTCACTAAAACACAAAAAGCAATCCACATTCCTAAAGGTGGCCAGCTATTGCTTTTAGCAAATGGATATTGACAGTAAGATTTTTTTTTTTCAACATTACTTTTTTTATTTTTTAAGAGAGCTGAGAAGTTTCTCTACATGCAATCTTCCACAAAATTGTTAGGCAGAGAGTTTTCAGGATCAGACTCCAGTATTTAGCAGACTGGCTAGTTATTTTTCCTTGTATTTTTAACTTAAGCAAGCATTAAATTCTTAACACAAATGGTCACATGGGCTGATTTTTATAAAATACACCAAATACCTTAAGTTCTCTTGATTTTCATGAGATCATTTTAAAAAATCATTTTCATAAAGAAAATTACTGTCACACTGTTTTTGTAAATTTACTGAGTGTTTTTAAATGTGTAAGGTGAACATTGTACATATACTGTAATTACTGTGGGACTTGTTTAAGAAGAAAAGCAGCTCTTGCCTGCTTCAAAGCTTTGTTTGCAACAAGCGCTGCTCAATCTTCCTTTAAAATTTATCAGAGAAAATTCACCTGTCTAGAGGTACAATTCTGTTAAAGCCAAAAATGTTGCATTCCCATAAGCTTGTTTGGATTTTGGTTCATTTGCAGGAGGAACTGACAAGAAAATATGAAACTATTAAGTGGACTGTTATAGCTTGAGGCCCAACATCTGCAATCAAATGCGTTAGTGTGGAGCCCTAGGATTTGCATTAGCAGATCTGATTGAAGGATGGGGGACCAAATGCCTGAGATGTGTTAGGGACTGTATAATCCATCCACAAAAATTTAATTAATTAATTTCCCATTCTGAGAGGGGAAGAAAACCCGTGTGTGTATAAAATTATAGAGAAAGAATGACATTGGAAAACGTGGTTTATTACATGCCTTAAAATACAGGGAAATGCGCAGTATCTTTTTAAAATGAGAAAATAAATATTACATCTTGATTATCTGGTTCATGTGAAAGAGGAAGATGTATGAGGCTTTATTTTAAGGACATATGCAGCTTGTATTATATCTCAGGGAATTTTATACTATCACATCTCTTAATCCTTCTAAATTGAAGTACTTTTATACTTGTGTTAATTATGTAGAATTACACACAATAAAGTTATTAACAGAAATAACACAGAGTGAGCCAGTTTTATTATTTCCTAATCCTCAAGTGATGTGAATAATAGTTGTTGTGGAAAACTGCTTACCTGGAAAAAAGTTCTTCTTAGTGTTTGTTTTTCTACCTCTTCAACTATAGAAATACCTGATTGTTCTCACAGTAACCAGACTGTCTGAGACTAAAAATGAAGGCTAAATTGTTCCAGAAGAAAAGGTTTTAGACTGGCCAGTCTGCACTAAGTGATTTATGATGTGAAAAGGAGTTTTTTTCTAAACTCAGGGCTCAACTCTAATGAGCCATGGCAATGTGTCATTTTAACAAAACTGCTCTCCCTCTTGACTTCCAAATTTAAAGAGTTCAAAAGATCCTGGGCTCTTTTTTTCCTTTGATTGTAATTACATTTTAAGAAAAAAAGATGTTTATTGAGATATTCAGTATATTTTGCTATAATCAGCAGGGAAAAAAGTGTTTTAGGTGGGACTTTTTAATGCTCACTTGCTAAATATCTTCTGAGCGACTTCAGGCAAGAGGCTCAGAGATCCTGTCAGCCTTTGTGGGGTCAGGATTGAACTAAACAGCTACTTCCTTTTTTTTCATCTTTCATGCTAAACTGCGGTGAAAATCAAGGTGAAGTCCTGCTTTTATATCCACTTGATGGATGCTGGAGTTTCTCAGGCACAACTCAGTGGCTTGAAGGATTGGCCCCTAGCAAGTAACATGGGACACAGGCTGCTAAAACATGTCCATTCTTGTTTTCTTGTTCACGCTGTATCATGTGCATTTATATCCGAGAGCTGGTTTGTTGATTTGGAGCCAGTGGAGGATTGTGTCTGATTATTTTGACATTTGCTTTTCCCTCATTTGAATAGCTCTCCATTGAACAGGCACTGCATCAATGTGCTTCAGCAGTGTCAGCAGCCGTGTGCAGGAAGCATTCAGTGGGCCTGGTATAAAATCAACTTGGGTGACTGGAAAGGCTCATACTGGCTTCAACTGCCTATAGACAAATTCTTAAGTGGAAATTGGGGCCAAACTGCAGAAGTCCATTGTTAACCTGAAATGTCATTAGTTTGAAACTAGAAATGCTGCTTGTGGTACATGGCATTAAATGGATGGATTCTGCACAATCATGCATTTTATTATATTTGTATAGTTGTCCATCCAATAACACTGCTAGAGCCACCACAGTGCAGGCTTCACTTTAGCAGAGGGATGGGAGTCATGAGACTTGGCTTTTACTCTTAGTTCTGAAGTTGTCTTTCTGTGTGACATTGAGCAAGTCATACATTAGAAAAGATGTCTGCTAATCCTGCGTGCCTTTATTTTAGCACCCAGCTTGAGATGCATATGGCCTGATTTTCAGAGGTGTTTAGCACCTACAGTTCTACTTGAAGTCAGTGGGACATCTACATGAGACGTTTACTGCTCAGTGGACTAATTAACTACACAGTAAATATCTCAGCATCTACACATGCAAAACTAATGCATGCCACCGCAGGGTAGTACTTGTAAATACAAGTAGTACCTTGCTGTAGAGTTTTTTAATGCACTGCAACATGCCCCAGGCAGCCCCTCTGCAGCACATTAAGGCTGGTCAAAGCAGCCCCAGGCTGCCTGAAAGGTGGGGCTGCTGCATCCCAGCTCAATGTGTTGTGATCTGGGTGCACCTGAGAACAATAAACTGTGGAGCAATATGCTGTACAGTTTGTTGCTGCCCCCTAATGACATGTGTAGACATGCCCAGTTATAACTTTTGGTGCTTGACATCCCAAGTTAGACACTTTACATTTCCTATTTTTACAGTTAAAATGTAGGCCTAGCAGGGGCAGATCCAGGATTTCCCAAAGGGGGCTGTGGGAGCAGCAACCCATACTGCAGGGGTGGCAGCACCCCCTGCTCCCAACCTCTTCCACCTCCACCAGTACGGGCAGACCACAGTGCAGGAGTCCCTAAAGCAGATGAAGACCCCCCACCTCCCTTCTCCTTCCTTCTCAAAGCATGCCCCTTCCCTCCTCTTCCTGTTCTTCCCCCCACAGCTGCCCTGTCTGCCTCTGCTGTTTTCTCCAGTGTTTGGGGGCAGGGAAACCCCAAGGCCAGCTAGGCTGAACAGGGCCTGGTCTCAGCTGGGGAGGGGAGAGTGGCAACAGGGTGGCTGGAGAATAGCTCCTCTACTCTGCTGGGTCTAGAGCAGGCAGGGGGAAGGGTGACCCTTGTCCATCCCTCCTGCCATTGTCCCTAAACCTAGCTGAGCCCAGCTCCCGAGCAGCAGACAGGAATGGTCCTGGTTCTTTGCCTTCCCCTGATGTCTTGGAGGGAAGCAAGGGAGTGGGGAGCTGGTGGTGAAATCTCCGGAGAATCATGTGATTCAGTCCAATCCAAAAGGAGGGGCACAGCTGCACTCTTGCACCCCTTCTGGATCCACCCTTGGGCCTTAGCCTCTTTATCTAGGAACCAAAATGTAGGCCACTTCACTCTTTGTTCTATCACGGTCTCTGTTCACCAAGCAGGTGCATAGTTCATGAGTCATGACCTTCTTTGTCAGGCATAGCCCCAGTCATTTTAATTGGGCATAGGCTGCCTTAATCTGTCAAAGATCATCATAGAAAAAAGGTGTTTATACATTTGGGAGTTGTTTCTCCTGTCACACTGGTATGAATTAGCACTAACTCCTCTGGGCATACTAAAGGTAATGGGTTCTTGGCAGATGTCAGTAAAAGAAGTATCAAGGCCTTGGCGCTCAGTTTATGCTAGACTTAGTTGTGACCCCAACCTTGGAGGAAAAGCTCCATCAGGTCATAATGGTAATACTGGATGTTATAGGCTTTCTGTTTAGATAGGATAATTATTTTGTGTAGTATCCCTGAACATTTCTAGTCCCTTGTTATGTCAAAGACTGAATGCTAACGGGGAGTCCCAAATCAATCAGTATGCCTGGACTCAAGTACAAATAAGCTCAGTTAATTAGAGCTAAATACATGCTGAGTTGAAGTTCTAGTAAAACAGCAGCAAGAGTGTTAATAGGAAAACGGAGCTTTATTTTCCCTTCTACTAATTACTGGAAGGCATGCCTTTCAGTACAGAGTCTTGTGGG